CCCCAAAACCCCAAAACCCCAAAACCCCAAAACCCCGTAAAAGATGGGCAAATTTGAACCAAATTGTAAAATAATTTTGATAATTCTTAATAAGAAATGTTCACTCATTCAGACCTTAGGAGTAAGTCATCGTGATAATAAGGTAGATCGTGGTCAATGGAGCAAAACTCTTAATCCAATGGGAACCTTTGGTGGTAAGTAGCTTCTTTAACATCAAAATTCTCAAAATTATTTGAAAAAATCTCAAAATTAAGAAGAAAAGATAGCCTAACAATTTTAGGAAGTAGAGTCAAGAGGACAGGGTCTCCACAACCAGCTGTTCGAAGCATTTTGAAAAATGCAACAAATGGGAACAGCTCTTTAGCTATGAAAAACGGGCTATTAGGGCACTCTGTGGCTGTTGATCCATTTTCCAAACTTTGCCAGCTTCATACTTCAGGCACTGGAAGTGTCAAAGTGATTGGGGATGAAAGCTCAATGGAGTACTTACTTGGCATCAGAGCAGTCTCAAGAGATGTCTTCCATGAAGAAATTGGCACTATTGCAAAGGCTATCTACGAAGAAGTTAGTTTTAGAGTCTCAAATGGGCCTGTGAAAGAAAGAGTGGTTACTATAAGCAATCCAGTAGCTTCTCAACCCCCTGACCTTAGCGGAATCGAGAGTTTTATTCAAGACAGCCTTGCCAATCAAAAGGTAGTCCTTCTTGTTACAGTTTAGACTGAGCTGATAGCTCCTATAACAGACAAAGTCAACCTGAACGACAAGAAGATGAATACGCTCGAGGAAAAGTTACAGAAATTGGAGGAGTCAATCACCTCCTTGACCAAAACAGTCCAGAACCAAATGCAAAAGGAATCGCTAACGTCTGAGGACAAAGACGAAGACATCGAGTTGATTCAGTCGGAGTTAGAGACAATCAAGAATGAATTTGCTGAAAGAGGAAACCTCTACATTCGTTTGTGTGAAGAACTTGAATCAGATAGGCTTGACAATAAACTCATGAAAGAAGAGTTAGAAAGGGAATTCGATACTCTTGATAAAACTATCAGAGACCAAATTAGTACCCAAATCAGCGACAATATTGACTTTTTCATTGAGAATTTCAAAAATGATATGAAATCCCTCAGAGGTGACCTTGACCAAGAGCGTGAAGACATAGAAGCCTTCATGAGAAAGAAGATAGATGACCTTCGTAAAAGAGTTGACAATGACACTCAGGATCTTGATTCAAGACTAAAGAAAGCCATGAAGGAGAATACTTCCAGGTACCAAAACCTTGTAGAGAAGATTGAAATCGAAACAGGAGACCTTTCATCCAAGATTAAAAAGATTGACAACAAGCTGGAGGTATTCTTTAGACAGTCATAATTACAGGCACCTAAGAAATTTATTGGAGATAAGGAATACAAATCGAGCTTCCACAATAATCCAGGTCAGATTAAGAGGTATATTAGCTCCCAAGTGGAGTCTAAGCTGCTCTCGCCTGGTGCTGAAAGCCCTAAGGCAAATGCTTGCCATGAAAGTTCTGATATTGTAAGAATGTTCTCAAACGATTTAGTTTAGCTTTCTCATTTAGCTAAAAATATTAAAATTTTCTTCATAAAACCCACATAAATTTCAAATTTTCAAATTTTTCAAAAAATTTAAGAGCAAATCAAAAATAGAGTAAACTTTGTTTGAGCAAAAAGCTAACCTATAACCTTTTGTACAGAGACATAACTCTCAGAGTTTGCATGGCCCAATGAGGCAGTTCCCCTCAGACACGATGAGAGATGAACACGAGCAATCTAAATCCAACACTGGGGAACTAATCTCAAATTTAAAATATGAAGAAATTATCGATGAAGTTCAAAAACTAAGAAAAGACCATGAGTACATTTCTGGTGAAATCTCAACGATGAAGCAATCATTAGAAAGTCTGTTTACTCAAAACGATACCTTGACAGACCTTTCCGAAGGATTTTATAGCCTAAAGAGCAGCACACAGAAGATGCAGAGTTCTCTAGATGAGAGTAAGTCCTAAATTCCTTCAGTTAAGCCATGACTCTAAATCTTGTTAAGTTTTGTTCAAACTTGTCATCCAAGATAGTTTCTTTAAAAATTCTTAATCTAGAACTTTCCAAGTATAAACTTGAAATCTCCGAGGTCAGGAAGGAAGATATCAAGAAATTCGAGGAAAAGAGCCTGGCAATTCAGAAGGAAATCAGCAAGATTAATGATTCCATTACTGAATTTGTCTCACAAGAGCAGCAATCGAAGGTAAAATTCTCGCCTAAAAACTTTAGAATGAATCTAAAGTTGCTGGCCAATGCCCAGAAAGAGAGTTTAACATGATGTTCAGTGTTGATCCAGTTAAGGAACTCGAGGCCAAGGTCTACAATGATATGGAACAGATCAAGCAAGAAATAAGCCTTGCCGTGAAAGGATACATTGACAACAGGACTAAGTTCCTTGAAAACCCACAGGCAATAATCTCCCAAATTCAGGACAACTTTATTAATCACGTTAAAACATCTTTCTTCCTTGATATCGAGAGGTCTTTAGTCCCTCTGGTCCAAAACGAAGTCAAGAAGGAAATGACTAGAATGACTATCGAGAGAGAATCATACGAAGAAGAGGACATTGATACTAAGAGTCAATCAATCATCAAGACAGATACTCTCCTCAATGGAATGAATAATGCTCAAGACATTAACGACCAAGTTATTGTAGAAGAGGTTTCCAAGGACAATACAGATATGTACACTTACACTCATGGAAGCGATAAAGAGAATAATGATCCATCAAAAAGTCATAGTCACCTACGTGACCAAGACGATCAGGATGATGACTCTGATGTTGAAGATGCAGTAAACACTTTCTCTCCTCCGAACAAGTTACCAGAATCATTCGTTGAGTCAAGAGGAAGCATTCTCCCATCAGAAGCATCGAGCAGCAAGAAGGAGACTATAAATATTTTCGAGAATTCATGAGAAAAGGAATCACCTGAAGTGAATAGATCCTATGACTTTAACCAAGGACTTGACTCCAGCCTTAAAAAGGCAAGACTGAACAGGAATATTTCTCAGCAATACTTTGACGTTAATGGGCAGAGAAGGTTCAATGAGAAGAATGTCCTCAGAGAAAGATTCACAGATCCCAACAATATCTCTCACAATAAGTCGAATGAGTCAATCACAATTTCTCATAAGACATTTAACCACTCAAATCTCAAGACAGAGACCAATATAGCAGAGTCAATGAAGAACCAAAAGATCAAGCAAGCAATGAATGAAATACAGAATACTCTTGAACAAGAGAGACTTAAATTACAGCAAAAGCCTCTTGAAAAAGAAGAGCCTCCAAAAGCGAGGGTAGACCAATCCCAAGGCTTGACCTCCATGAACTATGGATCTCCAATCTCAATGTTCAATCCTCACTCAAAAGTCTACACTCCTACCTTAAAATCAGGCTCTAAAAATGATCATGAACAAATGACACTTGAAGAACTAATCTCAAAAATTGACAACAAAAGGGACATGATTAAGAGAAGTGTGAGGGAAGAAATGGATGATTACTTCTGATCAAAACAATTCACACCACAATTCACCGAATCAGCTACATCTCACTTCATTCATCAGTCAACAAATGATCAAGTCTCAGTAGGACCTCAGCAGCTTCCCTCAGAAATACAGTATCAGAGCAATAGTAGGGGTTTTAGGGCTAATAATTTAGACATTGAAATGGTTCAGAAGGAGACAGGATTTAGAGGAGATCCACCTTCAAACTCCTACATCCACAATGGGTATAACAACCAATTTGAGGACTAATTCATCACCAAACCTTCAATTAATACTTTGATAAATGGGGTTTTGGGGTTTTGGGGTTTTGGGG